CCGACCAGATTTGATCAGAAAGTTGATCAAGTCCAAAAGTCGAACAGTTACAAGAACCGATCGCAAAAACAGGCGAATGCCTCAAGAACCGAACTCCCAACCAGATTTAATCAAAAAGTTGATCAAGTCCAAAAAGCCGAACGGTCACAAGAACCGATCGCAAAAACAGGCGAAGGTCTCAAAAGCCGAATACCCGACTAGATTTGATCAGAAAGTTGATCAAGTTCAAAAAGCCAAACGGTCACAAGAACCGATCGCAAAAACAGGCGAAGGCCTCAAGAGCCGAACGCCCGACCAAATTTGATCAGAAAGTTGATGAAGTCCAAAAAAAGCTGAAAAGTCACAAGAACTGATCGCAAAACCAGCCTCAAGAGCCGAACGCCCGACCAAATTTGATCAGAAAGTTGATCAAATCCAAAAAACCAAACGGTCACAAAAACCGATCGTAAAAAAAGGCGAAGGCCTCAAGAGCCGAACGTCCAACCAAATTTGATCGAAAAGTTGATCAAGTCCAAAAAGCCGAATGGACACAAGAACAGATCGGTAAAATGGGCGAAGACCTCAAGATTCGAACGCCTGACCAGATTTGATCAGGAAGTTGATCAAGCCAAAAAATCGAACGGCCACAAGAACCGATCGCTAAAACAGACAAGTACATCAAGATAAAGTTATGAGCAAGAGCTCAAGCAAAAACGATCTCAGAGATTGCAAAAGGAAATTTTTATAAATGGATCGGAGTTTCTACAAGGGAGGTAGGACACCTCAAAAGAAAAAAAAAAAAAAAAAACGCTATTCATCCCCACGTTCTACATTGAACCTCCGAGTAAAAGCATCAACTAGTTCCACCCTAGTTGGAATAGAAGGCGCAACAGGTGTCGAGGAAGGCAACCATTGAGAACTCGAGGGATACTGGAGAGGGGGTAAAACCTCAGGGTCCACCTCGCCCTTCAGTAAGGTAGCAAACTCAACCTTTCTAGGGCTAACAGAAGGCTCAGCATACTCGTCGGTAACCAAGAGCCCCTGCTCGACATCATGCTCATTAGCATCCCCATAATTCCTCTCCTCAGACGGAAGCTGCCTTTAAGCAAATCTAAGACTAAAACCCTTGGCATAACGAAGATTGGCGATTTGAGAGAGACGGTTGAACATATCCAAACCCCCTTCCTTGCAGGACTGGATCAAAGAGTTTGCCTTCCCAAGCTGAAAGTGGAGATCAACAGCTTTATTCTCAAGTTCTTTGGCCCTCTTATTGAAGTACTCAATTGATTTGAGCTGTTGGATCTTCTCCTTCTTCTCTTCAGTAAGAGAAGCCTCCAAAAGATCTACCCTCTTCTGCAAGGTGGTAGACTGATTCGCTTGAAGAGATTCAACTGACAGCTTCTTCATAAAAGCGAACATCAAGAAAGAGCTCTGCAGAAGAATAGCAGAATGTCATCAAAAAGATAAGCAACAAGAAAAGAAAATGAGAAATCAGAAGAATTTATCTCCATTATAGATTTAGGAGCAAGAAAGAGCAGGTCATCAACGCTCATTTGTTGTTGTAAAATCTCATCCCTGGGTTAATGAGACGAGCGGAGGATTTAGGATACATCAAGGGGTTCGGAGTTGGCAGAGATGTTAAACATCAGATGCAGATTTCCCATTTATTACTCGCTGATGATACTTTAGTATTTTATGATGCTGAAGTTTCTCAACTCAAATATTTGAGGTGTACTTTCGCTTGCTTCTAAGCGGTTTTTGGGCTAAAGATTAATGTCGGAAAGAGTGTGCTTGTCCCAGTGGGGGAAATTCCAGACACATCCTCCTTAGTTGCTGTCTTAGGATGTGGAGTTGGTTCTTTTCCACTTCCTTACTTAGGATTGCCTTTGGGAGTTTCTTCTACACGAGTTGGGAATTGGGATCCAGTGATTAGTAGATATGAGAAAAGATTAGCAGGATGGAAAAAGCACCATCTTTCTAAGGGGGGGAAAGTCACACTCATTAAGAGTACTCTCTTATCCCTTTCTACCTATTTTTTATCTCTGTTTCAAATTCCATGTTCTGTTGCTGATAGGATTGAAAAAATTCAGAGGGATTTTCTCTGGGGTGGAAAGGGTGAGGAGTTTAAGTATCATCTTATTAATTGGGATCAAGTCTGCCAACCTTGAGGTTAGGCGGGTTAGGCATTCGAAAAATCATTCCTTTTAATCGTGCTCTCTTGGGTAAGTGGTTATGGAGATTTGGAAGGGAACGCCATTGACAGTGGAGAAGAGTTGTCTCGTGTTGTTTTGGTGAGGAGAGTGGGGGCTGGTCATCTCTTCCTGTCACTATTATGGGAGGTGTTGGTGTGTGAAAATTCATTCGGAAGGGTTAGGATGTTTTTTCCACTCATATTAGATTCAAAGTTCGGGATGGCAAACATGTTCGTTTTTCGAAGGACCTTTGGTGCGGTTATCAGTTGCTGTCTCTTTATTTTCCTAGGCTCTATAGTATTGCAGCCAATAAGCATGTTTTCGTGATTGATTGTTATCATCTTGATAACAATGGAGTTACATGGGATGTGCGGTTTAGGCGGCCCTTTCAGGATTGGGAAATGGAGGAAGCTTGGGTTTTTTTTGGATACGTTATATAGACAGAAGGATATTGGCAGTGGGTGTGATGATATTTTATGGGTTCCTTTGGCTCATGGTCGGTATGGTGTCCGCTCTATGTTCATCTGTTTGTCCAATTTTGTTGGTTCTGTGTTCCATTAGAAGTCTATTTGGCACTCTAAAGCTCCTCTTCGAATCGCATTCTTCGTTTGGACTGCTACATTAGGGAAGATTTTGACATTGGACAATTTGAGGGAAGATTTTGACATTGGATAATTTGAGAAAGAGAGGCAACATCATTGTTAATTGGTGTTGTTTATGTAAAGCTATTACTGAATCCGTGGATTACATTTTTTTGCATTGTCCTGTGGCATTTGATTGTTGGAGTTTTATTTTTAGCATGTTTGGCGTTCTTTGGGTAATGCCTAAGCACTCCTTTCAATTGATTAACGCTTGGAAAATGTGTCCTGTCAAAGAACAAGCTCGGGATTATTGGAGGATTGTTCCACATTGTGTCTGGTGGTGTCTCTGGCGTGAGAGGAATAATAGATCCTTTGAAGGAAAAGAATTGTCTTTAGCTAATTTAAAAATTCATATTCTTCGTTCTTTGTTCTCTTATGTAAGAGGAAGTGCATGCTCCTCGATTGATAATTTCTTTGATCTCTTGGATTCCATTGGTCCATAGTCCTTTTTTTTTGTATTAGGGACACGTTCCCCTTTTGAACGTTTTTCTAATATATCTTTACCTATTAAAAAAAAAAAAAAACTTGTCATCATCCTAGGTGTCTCTTTCCTTACCCTCTCGCTTCGTCTTGCCCATCTCTCATTAATCCCAAAGGCTTCGGTAAAATGATCGACACTTGAAAAAGGTTGCTGGCATCAAACAATAACTACCGGTGACTGCTGGTGTTTTATTCTCACTGTTCTTTGCATTCCTAAAAGTTTTATTCTCTGTGTTCTTTGCATCCCTAAAACTTTTGACAAAAATAAAATGCATTTTGAATTTAGAATTGAAAGAAATTTAAATCAAATTTTTTACTAAATTTTCTTTAATTCTAAATTCATATCTCAGTGCTTTTAAACATAACAATAAATAATTTACTGAAACATTAGGATTTTGAATTGCCAAACATCAATTTTATAATGAACCCAAATATAATTGGTAATAATGACAAGATGTTATTTAATTTGAACTCCAAAGCAGCACAGGGAAAAGAAATGAAAAGGGTTACAATATCTAACCACCATCTAACACACGTCTAAATATTTTCCAGCCAAAATATCTTTCGAAAACAGTCCGCAACAAAGTAGTAGCAAGAGGTAATGCACATCTCAACCAAGTGAATCCAGACTCGCCTCCAGTAGGGGTTGATGTAGAAAACAGGTACAATCCCTAATAACATAGTTATGTAGGACACTGTAAAAGGTCACATAAAATGATTCCATGTCCAAGAAGCCATCATCCACTTCATTGCTATTCACGACTGTTGGGGTTGTTGGAGGTGGCTCAATGGCGGTGCAAGGTCTTGAAAGTGGTGGTCCACAAAGAAGTGGATTGCCAATGTAGGTACTACTATCAAATGTATCAAATTGAACATATCTTTTACTTTGTGGTATGCTGTCGGACAGGTTATTGTACGATACATTGAACATGGCCAGAGAATACAACTCGTTAAGTTGTAAAGGGATTTTCCCACTCAAGTTGTTGAAGGAGAGATCTAATCTCTCTACATTGTATAGGTTTGAAAACGTTGTTGGTATCGTCCCGCTTAGGCCATTGTGAGACAAGTTCAACGCTCTGATTTGGCCTATGTTTCCAATTTCATTTGGAATGTGGCCCGTCAATCTGTTACAGGAGAGATCAATAGCTGAGAATAGATCAAGATTGATTCCCTTGTAAGAGAGTGACATTCCTTTATTAGTGAATGTTACTTGTGCTTCTGGACCCAATGTTACTGATTTGGATTGATAACCTGTAGTGCTGTAAATTTCCATTTGTCCCTCAAAAGTGATGTTATTCAAGCAAGGAGGAATGTGGCCAGAAAAGTGATTGTAAGAAAGATCAATCAAGCGTATATTGGACCAATGGCATAAACTGAGTGAGATCTCACCATCGAAATGGTTGTTGTGCAAGACAAGAATGTTGAGACTCGAAAGGGTACCAATCCAATTTGGAATATGACCAGTTAAGTTGTTAAGGGAAAGATCTAAGATCACTAATGAGCTGCTATTGTATAACGCACGTGACAATGCTCCTTGCAACCTATTTTTAGACAGATGAACATGCTTAATATCTGGGGGGTTGAAGCAAGATGGTATGGTGGTCCCTGTTATTTTATTCTCAGAGGTCAAAAATATTAAGAAAATCAAGTTTACAAAATTCAATTGGAATTGGACCTTCCAGATGATTACTGGACATTGCAATCCAACTCACGCCTGAACTTCCAAAGAAGGAGAGTTGGACAAGCTATCCGAGATCTCCGCGAAGAGATTGTGGTCTAGGAATAAAATTTCCAACACAGTCACGATATTTTTTGTTGGCAAAATGGGGCCTTGCAAATTGTTATGGAACAGTTTCAAAAATGTCGAGGCGACGCAACCCCTGGCCAATTGCTCCGGTATTCCACCAGATAGTTGATTATTGGACAAGTCAAGAGTTTGTAGAGAAGACATATAACCAAATGAAGAGGGAATATTACCGGCAAATCTATTTCCGGACATGGTTAACGACATTAAACCTGGAAAAGCTGTACCAATGTTTCTCGGAATATGGCCCTGGAAGTTATTGCAAGAGATATCTAGTTCTAGAAGCTGTGCTCTGGGATAGAAAGGCAACTGAAGATATCAACTGAATGAATTATTTGGTAGAAAAAGTTGTACCAATCCTGTATTGTTCTCCAACAACCAATTTGGAAACTTCCCATCAAAGTTAATTTGAGAAAGCTCAACTATTTGAAGGTCCTTTTGGTAGTAGAGGAAGTTGGGAAAGTCTGTAGTGCTACTGATATTGCTAGATGCACTGTGAGATCAACGAATAACAGTTAGTTGGAAAACTCACGACATGTGTGTGCATGATCATTGGGTTAAAAAATTATTGTGTCTTCATCTTGAGCCTTCCAGGATCATCAAGTCACTACCTTATTTCTCTATCAAACACACAATAAAGTGTGTGTGCATGATCCTTGGGTTAAAAAAAATAAAAAAAAATTGTAACTTAAATATAAATTCATGCTTAAATATGTCAATTCTGAAACGTGAATATTCACAATAAGGTGGCCTCCAACATTTTGTTTATCATCTTTAATTATAATAATTTATTTTGATTTCCATCTTTGATATTCATATTTAATTCACTGATGATATGTTTGAGTAAATGAATTTTTTTGAAATGACTAGATTTGTATTTGAATAAAAAAATTTATCACAAAGAGTAGGCAAAGTGGTATGCTCCTTTGAAATTGAAAGGCAAAAGTTTCAAGTTATCAATGGTACACTAGTGTGAGAGAGAGATTTACCTATCCGAAAAAAGAAAGAAATTAAATAAATAAAATTTGACTATTGAGGTTGGATTTAGGAGCCCACCAAGGGAAATATTGAACTAGTTTGCTTACTAAAATACTTGTTGTCATGTGTTTTAAATAACAAAAAACTCCTTCCATCTTAATTATTAATTATTTGAAATTGATGCATACATGCATACTGTTTCAATCTACATGATTAGATATAAATTTAAATCATGCGTGCTTCTTAAGTTTATCCAATTCAATTCATGTCAAACATTGCTTTAATCCAAATAGAGACTTTTACTTTTCAACATTGATTGTGTTAAAATATACATGCGCCAACCCTAACTCTTTTTGCTACAATAAAGAGAAACTAACACTTTTTTTAGTTTTTTATTTTGTTGCTAAGTATTATTGTCTACCTAAGTCAGTGGATAATCGATATTGAGGTTTTTGAAAGTACTGTTGAATATACAATTAATTGACATAAAATGTTAAAACTGTGTTTTCTTCTTGGTAAACACCTTGGTTGGATATGATATTATCGAAGTTGTTTCCAGTAATGTTCAGCTCTTCTAAGTTGTTCAAACCATCCAAATCTAAGTAGGGAATGAGAAATCAGAAAAAAAAAATAGTAATAATTAGCTATAATACATTGCTCACTATTAACCAAATTAACATGAGGATAATATTATAAACTTGAGCATTTATGTCTTGTCTTGGAGCTAGAACTGAGTTTTCAATGATTGGAGGTTGTTACAATATTACAGTCACCTTGGATATAAATCATTCCGTTCAAGCTGTTTCTACTTAGATTTAGAGTTTTGAGCGATGAAAGTCCATTTAGAGATGTTAGGATGCTATTATTGAAATAATTGTCCGTTAGATCAAGAATCTGTAAATTGCTCAACCTGATAGTTTTTCAAAACCTGCAAAGGCCACAATAAAAAAGTAATTTGCAAGTTTCTTAGCAATAACACACAACTTTGTTCTAAAAATAAAATAAAATAAATAATAATAATAAAGAAATTGAAAAAAATAAAGGAACCAATCAATCTTCAAATGCAATCCTTAGGATGAATATGTATCTCATCTCATATATATATATATATAGATGAAGAGGGAAGCTAGACAAACATTCGTTCTCAATACAACCTTGAATATAATTGTAAGCCAAGTCTAGGCTTATGAGCAATTTAAAGAAAAGAAACACTGATGACGCGAACCCAAATGAGATGAAGTGTTTAAATACCAATCTCGTAACCCATATTCCCTTGTAAAATTAAGGGAAAGTTTGATGACGCGAAGTGTGGTGGTATTGCACTCAACACCTTCGCATTCACAGCAATCATCAGTAGTTCCTTCACCCTCCCATGATGGCAAGGAAGAGCCATTTGGGTGGTTGATGGAAGCTTTGAGCTCCAAAAGAGCGATTCTCTCTTGCTCCCAACACCCATTCACCAAAACCAACATCAACAATATTGATGAACTCAATACTCCTCCTGACAACTCCATTACTGAATGCCTGGTAATTGAACGGATTTGTGTTTAAGTAGGCCTACCTAAACAAAGTGAATGCCTAATCATTGCCTTTCTTTTCCTAAGCATGAATAGGAAGTCAAGGTCTGAGACACATGGAATGTTTTACCCGAGAACATTGTCAAAAATCAAAGGAAACTTCTGACGTGTAAGTCTGCGTAACATTGTTAAAACAAAATAAACAAGAATTTGATCTTTAATAACAAAAAATATTCATATTTTGATATCTCAATTATCTTTCATCACAAAAATAAATAAATAACTAAATAAATATTTTCAATACGAAATAAAAATTAATTATCAAATGTATATACTCCGGTGAAATGGTCCCACCACATGTGACTTTTACTCTAGTGATTAACACGTTTAAAAAACACAAGACATAATTTTCTTTTGCCAAAAATATAAGATAGGATACCAGATTGAAAAGAAAACGATGTATACTATATATATATAATAACACACTAAAGATAATATACAATACAATAATTCACTGAACCGCACATTAAGATAAAACATATTTTTTATATATATAAAAAAAAGGAATTTTATTACGGTAAAAAATATTAAATATAGTTTAAAGATTTTAAATTTATAAACATAGATCTAAATTATTTTCATATTTATTTTTATAATCATTAATCTAGAGAAATTCTTGATGTCTTAATATTTCAAAGCACAATGAACTAAACACAGAAAAAATCTCTCTCAATTCATTACGAAAGAGACTGATTGTGTTAGGTATTATGAAAGACATTGACTTCAATTATATGAGGAGACCTTGACTTAGATTTCCACAATAAAATTCTTCCTATTGTAATACTAGTATGTTTTTTTAGTTTGATTTTTAATATTAAAATTTTTCCAACTGGGTTAATCCTATTATCTCCTACCATATCACACATATCCTTAAACATCTTCTAAATTATAAGAGAGTTTATAATTCCAGTTCACAACTTTTATATATATATATATATTTAAAATAATTACCATTTTTTATAATTTTTTTTTAAAAATATAGAATAATATTAGAAACAACCAAAAGCTGACGAATAAAAAAATGATGGAACCAAAATTAAGATCTTTTCTTCATAACAATGTAAAGGATGGTAGAGTAAAATGCTAATCTCACCTTCTTTTACGGGTAACAATTCATTGAAGATATTGTGTTAACCTTCATTACAGAAGATGTAAGACCAAGACAGTAGTTTTAGATGAAAGGCTGAACAACATTTTTTAACATCACTGAAAGCGCTCAAGTTAAGGAACACAGAAAATTTGAGTTAAACCTAGTCCCACTACTTGATTCAGCTTAAGGGTCTAATGTATTTCTTTCAAAGGGCCGACCTTCTTGTTCACGCCATCAAATTAATTAAGGGTTTCCCATAGCTTTCTTTGCTGAAATTCTATTTGAGGGCTCATACCGCAACATCTGCTGTAAACACACAAATTTGGAAGTGTAAATTGAGATATTGTTCCAAAATAACCGAACAACAAGGGTGGTTCAAACTTTACCAATAGCAAGTCTAGCTTGTCTTCGTCCAGATTAGGAACAGCCGATGACAACTTCCGAGGGCTCCATTGTGGATAATATTCGTGCCAGTTTGTTTGCTTGCTTGCTTACTCCTACTCCTGACCAAACTTCTTCATTTGGAGTATTTGACGATCAGAAGATCTGCTATTTTAAGCATTCCTGTCTTTCGGTACATCACAAGATTGTGAGTGAGTCTTAAGGTCCCTGAATTAAATAAGACTGCCAAAGAGAATTTGGTGATTGAAATTGGAGAAAGAAAAAGCTTAAAATACCTTATTTCAGCCTTAATAAGTAAAAATAAAATGACTATTTTGTGTTTGTTTGTTCTGAACAAAAATAAAAGGGTAAATTACTCAGACCTCCCTAAGGTTTAGCTACATTACCCATAGATGAAACTTTTGGCAAAGTTACTAGCTATGACACCCCCTTGTCCTTAACTTTCGTATTGAAAGTACAAAAATACCCTTGAACAAAAAATAAATAAAAAAAATAAACATATTAGTCCATTGCTTTCTAATCTATATATACATATATACATGCAACCACTCCTCGCACTTACTACCGCCTCCACCGTCCTCTTTTGCTCATGGCAGCGCCGCTTCTTTCTCTACACCACTTTGCAAAATTGAAGGGAAAACAAAGCATTGAGAAGTCTCTGTTGGTTCATAAAATTAAAGGGAAAAATACATATAAACGTATATGTTTGCTTGAAGAGAAAAAAACAAACCCTAATAAGATTGAAGGGATGTATTCATATATATATATATATATATTTTTTTCAATATATATTTTGGTGTATCCAAAACGGAGAATTGACTCTCGTTTTTTGCATTGCTCCTAACCCACTATGATAATAAAGTAATTGCTATCTTGGTTTGTGAATTTTACTTTAAAACCTTCCATTTTAGATAGGCAACCTCTTGGTCAGGTTCACTTTGCAATTCTCAGATAAAGAGATGTTACCCCCATAAATACCTTATAAAGGCACAAAATGAAGTTAGGCTGAAGTTCATGCAAATGATCCTGGGATAATTTCTAAGATTCCCATGCATCCTGTTGGAGGTTAATCATAGTTTTCTAATGAGGTCCTTCGCCATTGCAAGGTCTGGATGATTCTGTGCCTATTAAAGATGAGGGACTTGATAAAAGGACTCATACAAGATTTATTCCAGACCTATTCCTATGCATGCTTCTAAGGATCGAACTCGTCATCAAGTACGAGAGCTCTAAAGCAGGAGCTACTCCTGTTGTTACTGAGTAGGAGTGAAGCAGCTCCGAAGTCCTATTGATGTCTGAATAGGATTTCGCTACATATTGTTAGGTTCAGATTACCTTAGATACTATTAGGTTTAAATTTTAAGACCCTAGATACTATGAGGTATGATGCTACAAACCTAGATACTATTAAGTCTGGAATGAACAACCTTAAGACCATGAATTGGGCAACTTAGATACTATTAGGTTTTTATTTGGGAACCTAGTTACTGTTAAGGTTTATTAGACACCGCTAGACGCCATGAGTTGAACGACCTATATACTACTAAATTTCTATTAGGCAACCTAGATTCCAATAGGCTTGTTTTGGGAACCTTTATAGCATTAGAGTCAATTAGATTCCCTTAGATCCTATTAGGGTTGATTTTAGGTCTCTATAAACTATTAGTGTTGAGGCTAGATATTGCTAGGTAGAATGAAGCATCGATTATAGGGCCGTGATCATCATCATCATTTCTTGCCTTTTTCCAAAAGAATGGGGTCGGCCACATAAATTCTCATTTTCCATTCTATTATATCATACACCATTATCATCATCAACTACAGGGTATTTTGCATATTTTAATTATGGCCAAAAATGGGAATATTAATTTGGGGAACAAATATAGTTCCTAAAACCTTCAGGTCAGATCCAAATTGGACAGGGATTAACGTTGAGGTTCTTGATGGAAATTGGTAGATTCGGGGGATGTTTTTGCAATTTTGAACACACGGAAGGGGTAAATAACAAACTATCAAGAAGACCCAAATAACCGCCATCCACCTTGAAATTTTTATTCACACTTCTAGTAAGCAATAATACATTGTCATGTCAAAATATTTCAGATATAGACATACTCAAAGCTTCAAGCATGCATCAATGATAACTGGAACTAGGCAGATAAATATAGTTATGGCAGACTGATCAACCTCGAGCCCATAATGCTCCACAATGATCTCTAGTAAAGTCTGCCAACCATTTTCAGAATGATACCAGCAAGTTTGAAATTTCACAATCTACTGTTCTAGAGTCCAGGAACATAAAATTCAGATATAGGGTCACAAGTAGTATAACTTAAATTGCAAGGAAAAAGAGGAACAGAAAAACCAGCAAATATGATGTCAGTATGTTCAGAAAAAAAGGGTTATCAGGAGGGGGGGAAAATCAGAGAAGAGTCTAGAGTGTTAGTTGCATGGAAAAGACTTGGTCGGATAAAATACGTTTGTACCTTACTTCTAAATATTCTATACAACAATAAAAACGCTATCAATAAACTTAATATTTTATGTCAAGAAAAAAAGGCAGGTTGTCCACCTCATATCACCATTCACCACTACAGTTCTGGTTAACATCAATTACATTCCATACAGATTTAACTTGTACAAAAACTTGATTTTAGCCTACTTGTGTGAACTTCTCTTTAAAAATAAATTCATTTAATGGGAAGAATGTGCTAATCAGTACTTCCATGAAAGAGCAGAAAATATTACCCTAAAAAAATATCTGTAATAAGAATAATTAGAAATGCCTTCCCAGTGTTTGAAATATTATTTATTATTTTATACCCTGTAAATTTTAGCAAAGCAACCTGCAAAAGACCGAGGAAAAAGAAAAAAAAAGGTCAAATGGAAAGACATGTTTGTTATATGCAAAATAAATTTATAGGTTTGCCATACACATAAATGCTCAAGCACAACTGAGCAAATAGATGAGTAAGACTAAATTACAGAAATATCAGAGAAGAACTGAAACACATAAATGCTCAAGCACAACTGAGCAAATAGATGAGTAAGCAACAAGAACACAATATCAATTTGACAGTTTCTTACAGATTTCAATGTCTACTACTTGATCTTTTACAATTTTTAACTTTACCAAACCACTCCAGATTAAAATAAGAATTCTCACCTAAAAACACAATTTCCCCCCACTCCTAGTCTAATGGACAGCTGAATAATACAGGACTCTAAAGGATAAAAGTGTACTTGAAGCATTACAGATTGACGAGGCAAGAACAAAGTACTAATAGTTTTTATGCAAATTGATTACTAAATTACAGAAATATCAGAGAAGAACTGAAACTCTGTCTAATTTAAGAACGTAGCAAAAATTGACAATGTGGATCTTGCTATCTTAGCTCAAGAATTAGAGGAATATACAGCCAAGTAGTTGTGATTTAGTCATTAA